GTTTAGGGGTAGCTGCGGGTGCCAGGGCTGCCGCGCTGGGGAAGCCGCTGCTGCTCCCGCCAGCGGTCGCCCCTTCCCGGGTGGCTGGTCGCCCCTTCCCGGGTGTCTGGTCGCCCCTTCCTAGGTGTCTGCCACCACGTCTATGTGGCGTCAGGTCCGGGTCGCAGCGCGCTGGGCAGCTCTCAGGGTTATAGCAAGCCCAGAGCAATTTAAGGTCGTTGAGAGCTTTAGAGTGCTGTTTTGCCTTGGTTTAGCCTTATGTTTTGGGAACTACTCTGATATAATACTACTCCCTGCACCTTATTTACTACGCAGATTGCCGATGGGAGTTGAGGACACCATCGGAAAGTTCAGCGCAGCTCCTTGGAGCTGAGAAGTGCTTTGGGCTCGGGTTGGTATGAGCTTTGTCTCCACTAGATGGAGGTGCTGGAATAGCTGTGCACACTCCGGAGCGTGGAGCCGGCCGCGCATCCCTGCGAACGAGGAGGAACGCGAGGAGTGGTGTTCTCACCTTGCTGTGCGCAGCAGAAAAAATTGTGCAAATCCACTGCCTTCAATGAGCTGAGCACTTGTGCAACCTCACACAGAATGAAATTGGGGTTGCTCTGCCTTTCCCTGTTACTGTAGTGAACATTTGCTTTCTGCAGAAGAGCTAGACACCCTACACCAGGAAAGTAAAACCTAATGTGGAGCTTGCACCTTCTGCTTGCAAAGGTTGCAAACTCTCCAAGAGCTAAACATTATTGTTTTTATTTTATTTATTTATTTATTTTTGCATACGTGGCTGGAATTTGCTTCTTCTGTTGTGGAAAATCTGTATATGTAGTGTTGAAAGCTTATGAAATACCTTGTTAAGTGGCTCTGAAGAGGTTAACCTTGGTACAGTATCTTTGTAGATGGTGAATGTGATGTACAGAGAAGTTAATGGACATAACAGTGCTTAGCAGAAACAGAAAATTAATAATTCTTAGTTGCCTGAGGTAAGTGCAAGTCCCTCTAATGTCTTGATCTTTGTGCAAAGACCTATTGAAGAAAAGCAGTCTTAATAAAAATCTTAAAATAGAAATGGGGATTTTCATGATAAGAAAATATCCATGGAATGATGGCTTAATTGAAAAGAATGGAGGGAAATCCTTCTTTTTTTTTTTTTTTTTTTTTTTTTTGACAAGACACATATTGTTTAAAAGTGTCAGTACTATTCCCTAGCTTTTAAAAATAATCATAACATAGATAATTAAGGAAATGGAGTGTTATATGGGCTGAAGATAGCAAAGATGTTAGTGTTTGTTAATAACTTGTCGAAATATATTCTTTTTTTTTTTTTTTCTAAGTTTACAATATGATACTTTTTAATTTTAGTTCAGGCTTTAATGAAGCAGATGGAAGGAATCTTACAGGGGAGGGTGAAGTAAGTTATCAAGCCCTTTGGAAAGGAAATAGTAGTTTTGGTCAAGGAATGGAAAATAATCCCTTGAGATGCAAGAAGCTTTGGGCTGAAAAGCCTTCCATGTTCTGAGACTGGCTCCATGTTTCCTTAGGAGATATGATTTATGGTTAGGTAGGAATGAGTACAGAATGTTGTAGACATGAATAGAGGACAAAATTCAACTCAGAAATTCAAGACGGAACTGCCTGGTTTTCTAATGCAGACAGTTTTGCTGCTTCTGTGAAACAGTATCACCGCTTTGGGGAAAATCTTGACTGAGAAAAGATAATTGGAATTAAACGCCAAGGTAACTTGTTAATGGACAAATTGCAAGGAGTAGGGGTTTACTGAAGGGTGAACGTCAGTAGCTGGTAGGACACAGCAGTCTAAACGCAACGCTGCTGCAGGGGGAAGTTTCAGGTATGACGTGGTGTGTGGTCTTGCAGGTGGGCTCTTTCAGATCTTACTGATTGTGCTTGCTGTTAATTGGAAACCTCACTGATGATGTTGCCAAATAATAAGGGGATAAAATATACTTCAGTTACTGAGTGTGGTGTCTTGGGTCTGAAAATCCAGCCTTGTCAGAAACTGAGAGCCAGTTCTAGTGATGCCATCACCATGCTCGAAATTCAGATTATGCTTCTGGTGATCCATGTATCATGGGCAAATCCAGGAGGGTGCATATAGCCCGAACGTGGGATGTGGTTAAGACTGAGGGATTGGGTTTAGTATAGACTCATGTAAACAGAACGTAACTTAAAAGAAGTGACATTATTTTATTTTTGTGAGCTAAAGCATGCTTTGTTATACTATTCCTAAGGAATATATGTATTGCTTATTATAGTATTCCTTTAAATGGCAAGTTATCATGTGAAAGAAATAAATTGGGTAAGTAACTTCCTGAGAATCAATTTAAGTAATGTGTTATGTCAGGCCAAAGAAATTTGTTACTTTATTTAGGTTTCGTGTGCATATATAAGTGCATGTATGTGGATAAATTATATAGTGAAAAACATAAATGCTATTGTTTCAGTGATATGAATTAATAAAAAAAGAGAGTGTTTGTAGTAGTTGTGGAACATATTTTTCTTACTCAGAGATGTGTGGAAATAGAGGATAAAAGAGCAATAAGAAATTTACTTTTAATATTTACTAAATTGTGAAGTATTTGTTCAGCACGTTGTTTTTAAGAGTGTGTTTTATCCCGTTGCTTTATAGATGTCGTCTTAGCTATAAAACAGTGCAATAGACAGAAAAAACTTTGCTTGACCATCAGCATGTTCCAGAGCTTCACTTTGGAAAATTAGCTAGACGGAGGGAGTTCCAAGGGCTTTGGCTGGGAAGCAAGCTGCCTTTGATCCTGGCATAATGTAGAGCGAGCGGGTTATCTGCCTCCTTACATAACATATTTGTTTTTCATTAAACATTCTGATAAGGTCTTATTAAAGTACCATGTATAATTTATCATGTTTCATATGAAAATGAGCTGAAAGGAAAATTCTATCTGCTTAGGGCATTTCCAGAATAACAGGCTTTCTGTGCTAGGGAGGGGAAAAAAAAGCAGAAGAAAAACATGACATACTCCTGTCAGAACAGGAGACTGCTTAAGGCGGAGAGAAAGAATGAAAAGAGGAAAAGGGGCACAGAGAGGGTTCATTTCTCATCCTCACTTTCTCTTGCTGTTTTTATTCTTTTTCTTGGTTTGCTTTGTATTTTTTTTTCTTTTTTTTTTTTTTCCCTTCTGTGTCATGTAGTAATTTGTGCTGTTCTAGAGCTGTGCTGGTCTAGTGGGTCAGTCCATGATAATCTGCAAAAGCATGGATGTTTCCTAAGCCAAAAAGCAGTCCCTATACTGTCAGTTTGTGTTTTAATTATTTCAGTGTTAACCATGGAACACTAATTACATTGGTCTAGTTACATTGGCTGCTTTGGAACAAGAGAATTATGTAATAAGTGATTCTACTGGAAAATATTTATTTTTTCCATGAAGATGACTTCCATGGATCTAAATGAATTTCTGAAGTTTCTGTGAGTGCGGATGTGTGTACACACTTGTAAAATGCAAAATAATATATACTTTTTTCTTAGTGCAGAGCCTGAGGTGCAATGACATGTTCTGTGTCTATTTGCATTTATACAGGGACTTTTATTTCTCTTTAAAGGAAGTCTTCAGTATCCAAAGACCTCTACTGTATTGTTGTTTATTATCATTAATATTAAACTTTTGTTACAAAATATTTCTCTGCAAAAAGTGGATTTTACAGGTGTCCTGTAAAATTGGTAATTTGAAAATCTTTTGCAAAATCTTTTTAAAAGGAGCCCCTTTAAAACCTCAGGTGTTGCTTTGAGGTTTGACCTTCTTTCCTGAAGAATTAATAATTCATTCATTTGTCAAATACTAATTAAAAACAGTAGTATCTTTTGTTATACTTAAGTAGTATGTAGAGAAAAAAGGAGACCTGTAGTATTGGACCTCAAGGACAAGCTATAATATAAATTATTTGATTTGCAGGTCACATCCTACTTTATTACATAAAGACTAACTAGATCTACTAATGAATAATTATTACTCCATAAAAGAAAGAAAGAAAAAGTCTGCAAGAGCAGAATACTAATTTGAGGTATCACTCTCCAAGTAAAAAGTAAACATAAAATTCTAAAAATTACCCATGTAATTTGTCCATGTAACCTGATAGGGCACTCTTTGAGAAGAGATTGACTAGCTGTCGAACACATTTGCAATTTTAGATGAGTTTTAGAAGAATTTTAAGATACAGTCTTTATGCAAGTCTCTGTCTCCCCCACGCCACCCCCCGAAGAAAGGCAAACCGGGAAAGCCATAACATTTATTTCGCTATTTCACTCCTGGTGTTTCTGCTGTGGTGGTTACGCTGATATTTCACACTTTTTCTGTATGCTTTTATAGGCTTCCCTGGAACCGAGATAGTGAATGACATGCAGATGTAAAATTAATCTGTGTTTTAAAATAAGCTCATTTACTGCTAGCACTTCTGCTGCTGGAATCCTCCTGGCTCGCCAGGCTTAGCTTTCCCTTCACTTTGTGTTTGGTGCTTGTGTTCTGAGGAGGGGAAAGCCCTTTTCGTGTCAGGTGCGGGTCCTCAGAGGGGAGGGAAATACCAAGGTGTGTATGTGTGTGTGTGTGTGTGTGTGTGTGTGTGCAGAATCCTAGCAGGCGCTCGGTCCCAGCTGGGCAGTGACATTAATTGCCCAAATCTCTCGGATGCCTGTGATGCAGCGCGCTCACTTTCTCTCCTTCCCTATCCTCCCCGGGGATTTTTAAAATGCGGTGTTTGAATTTTGGTGAGTGGTAAAGACCCTGCCCTAGGACCCATTTGACAAATGAGAAGCCGTGCAGCATCAGCAGCAGCCGCCTGAGCCGCGTGGAGTCAATCTCCCTCTCGACTAGTCAGCAGCTCCGCTTGCGAGCCGAGCCGCAGCTCGCGCTGTCATTGAGGAACTTCCATTTGCTCATCAATAGGCTGCAGGCTCTCTCCGCTTTTTTTTTTTTTTTTGGACCGCTTTTTTTTTTTTTTTTTCTCTCTCCCCTTCTGTTAAAAATTTGTAGTTTAAATCTACCAAGTTGCCTTAGCTGACAAACGAATGTAGGGATCTAGCAGTGGAGGGGAAAAAAGAGACGTCGAAGGAAAACTGTTTCTTTCTTAAATAATCAGAAGGAAAAAAAAAAAAAACTGTAGTGACAAGATAGGGCAAACGTGCTTGCATGCAAGCCCCCTCACTCGTTCTACGTAGACTTCAGAGCAACACCATGCAGCATCCCCTTACGGGTGCAACCTGCGTGGCACTGCCGAATGTGGGCATGTGTCCCCAGCTCTCCTGTGCCTTGACTTTTATGTACTTACAGCAGGTAAGTTCGCTTAACTTTTTCAATATTGCCGGCTTCGTCAGCAGCATTTGGGGGATTTGTGAGCTCAGAAGGTATTTTTTGATATGAATAGACTGTATAAATGTCTCCTCCTGCTCGGGGTGAATGTTGTCTCTGCATTTAGAAATGGTGAGAGTGAGTACAAAATCTGTCTTAGCAGGGCATCAAGCATTTGCATAGCTATTAATTTTTTTGCGATATCTTTATTGATGCTGTTTATAGATGTTTAACACAGTACTTTGTGTTTCTTATGGATACTGTAGTAGAGTTTCAGCCATAAAAGATTGCTCTTTATTCACTTGCAGGCATAAATTATACTTCTAATGTAAATGTACCCAATGGCAATTTTACTTAAGCCTCTTTGAAGCCAGGAATTTAAGTCTTTGTTGAAACATGCTGCTGATTAAAATCAGTTTGATTTTAATCAGAAAAGGAATGATTTGTAAAGCTATATCTGTGCAGAATTGAAATACATCACTGGAGTGAACTGAGATGGATTTAAATAGATGTTCTGAAATCAGGAAAACAATATTCTGCTCCATTTCTAAGGTTGTTTTTTTTTTAATTCACGAGCATTCTATATGTGTGTGTGTGTGTGTGCATATGGAAATTCATTAAAAAGTATTTCCTCACCCTTCCCCCCCCCCATTATTTACTAGTTGATAACATTTCTTGGTTGTGATATAGATTATTAGATAATGGAGCATTAGTATTTGAAGTGTTCTGAAGTCATCAGTGTGTGCTACTTCTCTATTTTTTTTAAAATGGAATCTGCTGTTACAGAGGATCCTCCAGTAGGCATGTAGAGCCACGACTGCTATATCTTATCATGCACAACTGATTAATCCTATTTACTTCGTTACTTTTTGCTGCAACTTCAGGGGAAAAAAAAAAAAAAAAAGAAATTCTGTGCCTACACACAACTGAGGAATAAAGCAGAGGGGCATTTGACTGAACTCTTCTAACTTCCACTGCAATTGTTTATATGTATATCGACTTCCATGATACAGACAGTAACTTATTTTCATATTTACACATGCCTGAAAGATTTTTTTTTCTTACAGTTTCTTTAGCGTATTTTGTTCCTAAATGTTAAATGAAATAAAGGAAAGCTTGTTTTTAATTTAGAATATTTGCCTTTCTGCTACTGAAACAAAACAAAATTATTTGAAGGATATAAAACCTTCTGTAGCCTTTTTTTTTCTTCTAGCGTAATATAAACCATTTCTGCCTTACAGCGCCGAGTGTATAAGAACAAGAGTTTATTCCCTAAATTTTACATGTATGTAGGAGATTAATGTGTCTGCAATTGAAATGTACATTGGAAAAAATAGTGTATTTAGTATTTAAATAAATTGCATGCTATAATTAGGCTGGATGTTGTTAGTACTTCTGTGTGCTGGCTGCATTTTGGAAATGGCTTTTACGGATCAGTTTTAATTTTCCAGGGTGCCTTGTGCAGCTTGTGGTTCCGTACGACACGTTCTGCCCTGCTTGCTCGTGCTGGTCCCGCCGGCCCGTGAGCCGGTGACGGGGTTAAGGACGCGAAACCGGGAAGGGACAGGACAGGACAGGGGGTGAGAGGTCGCCGGGAGGGGAGGGGAGGGGAGGATGGCGCCTGCCATCATCTTCCTCCTCCCTGAGCTGCTGCAGCAGCAGCATTATGCAAACACATCCCTAGCAGGGCACTGCTTTCAGGGTTAGGAAACTGGGCAACCACAATGATTGCTTTAAAACAGGGAATTCAAATGCATCTGTGCTGTTCCAGAAAGGTATGGGAAGTGATTGCTAATGCACTTGACAAAGTGCTGTGCCTAGAAGATAATTTTTTAACTCTTTAAGTAGATTAACTGCTTCTCTGATCATGTGCATTTTATTAAAGGGCTGATTTTTACAGTCTGGTTAATGCTACTGTCAGTTTATTTTCATTGTGCCTCTGTTACTGGTAGTTACATATGAGTAAAAGTTCTCAGGGATTCCTGGTGATAACTGTGGCAGGTTCCAAATAAGCTTCTTTTTGCCTATTTTAAGTGTTTAGTTGGTGTTTTACTTACTTGGAGTTCCTGGAGAGTCAGATGTTTATCATCTAAATTCAGATAGGATTTATTATTTGATGTATTTGTTGCATTTGATTCTTAGAAGTAATATGCAACTTTTTAGCCACAGATTAGATAGAAAAGAAGTAATATTGCATAGTACAATGCGTGTAAAGCTAATGTGTAGCATTATTCTGCATTTGAAAAAACATCAAATAACTTTTACCATGATAGTCTGTTTTTCCCATATCTAATCATCTCTAGCAACCCTGCAAATATAACTATATATTTTGTGTGTCTGCTGTAATTATAATTATTTCAGTGAAAGCGTGAATGCGTATGTGTGTGTGTATATGTATCTATATGTATGCATTTTTTCACGCATGTGAAGTTGTCCATTGAGCTTGCTTCTGGTAGCCTAAAGCTCTGTCTGGTAACTTAGGGACCCGTGACTCCCCCGCCTGTGAACCCTACTGAACAGCAGTATTATAGATGTTACCCACACCACTTCAGTGCAGTATTTTTGTTTGTTTGTTTTTAAGGGGGAGAAAAAAAAAGAAAAACTTCAGATTGTGCCTCATTTAAAATTAATTCTAAAATCTTTATTTCTACAGGGCTTGAAGTCATTAACCTTACTTTTTCTATTTTGGTTGTATGACGAAATCTCTTTTCTGTTTTTCTGTGTTACAGTTGTATTTTGTCACACTTAGGTTTAGTAATCTCGGTACCTGTGCAACCTTTCCTAAGACTAAGAGACATTTTGATCATATTCTTCTCAAGATGGGCACACTGGACTTCCTGTCAGTAAACAAATATGTAGCCGTGAGAATGCCTTTTTCTGTGGAACTATATTAATCACAGGGCAAAATCTGTGTTTGATTTCAAATTGACCTTTATTTATTTGTTAAACTGACCCTGCTTTGTCAGTTTGTTTGATATGCATTAATAAATTCTATTCCACAAAAGAACTTGGTGTGGGCACCTAAGTGCTGCTGCTCTTGTTCAGTGCTAGGAACTATGTATTTGCTGTGATCTCTGTCAGATCAGATATAGAAAGTTCTAAGCTATGTGAGGAACTGAATTTTTGTTTTTAAGCAATTTGTCTGTGCTTGCATGATAGCATACTTAAAAACATTTAAAGCTTAACTGTTGCCACACTAAAGTTAAAAACAACGGTGTAGAGGCCTAGTTCACGTTATAGATCAGCTGTCAACAGGATATTCATTTGAAAAACTTTTGAAGATCATTTCTGGATTTCTAACAACGTTAATACCAAAATGTCCGTATCAATGACAGCAACGAGCAAAAGGCTTTGATTTGAAAGTTTTTAATGGTCTCTTGACTCTCTCAAGAGCCATAACGAAATATGTAGGTTAATGTCAATGAAACAGTGATATGAAATTTTACATAGTACCAATATTTTAAAAAAAAGACCAAAGAAACTCAGATTGGTAGTTCAGCCCGTCATTTTGTATTATTTCAGTGTTTGAAACGGCTAAATACGTGTCTTTTTCTCTTCTCCCCCTTTAATAAAGCATTTCAATAGGGCAAGTAGTTCCTAGCCTCAAACTCGTATCAAATTCTCGTGCAAAGTAGTTGGTATAGCTGAAATTTGACCCCCTGTAAATTGGGATCTAGATTTTATTAATGGAGGTTTAGTTCTGTTAACTAATGTGTCCTTGTGGTGTACTGTGTTTTTGAAAGGACATAAAATTATTTAGTTGATATGGACATTGAGTTTTTTAGTTGGTATTTTCTGAGCAAAGTAACTAAGTCAACAGTTACAGCATGACATAACAATCCATGTCACTGTGCTGCTGACAGTATTTTTAAATTGGTATTTTTTTTCTGTTTAATGATGATACATGTGGTTTGTTTTAAATAGTGAAGTGGTTTGTACAAAGGGTAATTCCTCTTAAATGGAGCAATTGCTCATAGTGGACGTCCACAGATCGAAAACAATTGAACTGAAACTTCAATATCAACCTTTTCTGTCTTTAACAAGAAAGTAGTTCATGACAGAGCTCTCATATCAAAGATTTAAAAATAATAATAATAAAAAAGGTCCATCATGAAAACAAAACCCAGCAACCCTCCATCTCTCCTCCAGCTCTTCCATTAGTATTTACATGGTAAATTAGTGTGGTTTTATTTAGGCCTTAAGCATTATGACTATGGAGAAAAGCTGAATTCCTCACTCAGTTTCCTATGTCATGCTTTTGGATTTGATGATTTATAGGAATCTGAAGGACTTTTTATCACATTCTTTCTTCATGGTTTAATTCAAAGTTGATTTATTTGATAGCATTCACAATTGATGTAGTCAATAGTGTCAATAGTGGAAAAAGGATTAGAACAGATTATCTTTGTGTTTAAATTGTATAAAGCATTAAAATGGATGAATAATTTCTGGATGCAGTTTACTATTTTGATGGAGAGTGAGCATATTACTTGCAGCATGTCACTGCTGCAGTCACAGTCTGCCTGTTGGACGTTTCATGTCTTAGCAGGTCATCAAAGGATTGGGTGGGGTTTTTATTACAAGATGTGATGTTTTTCATGACATTCCTGTTTAGAAACCTATCATTATCATGAAAACAACTTTTTTTTTTTTTTTTAACCTAGTCTGATATATCACTTGCTCTGACTGCCTTCTAAAATTATTTAATAGGGCTTTATCTCATGAAAGTGTTGAGCATCTGTTGGGTTACAGATTGGAGTCTTTGTACACTTTGGTTCCTCAGCGTGCCCTTTCATGGTGGTTTTCGCATAAGAACCTGCAACCTCTGCATGAGTCAAGAGAAGTCCCCATGATGAATGTTCACTGCCATCTGCTCACCCCACAGCTGCGCTGTCACTAGTTGTCCTGTGGCTGATGGACGGAGGGCAGGCTGCCTTGTCGGGCCCTTCTGCTTCATTTAAGCAGCCTATTACTACTCTTTAAGA